TTTACAAATTTTACTATATATTTTTAATAAAGAAACTATTTCATTTTGGTATTTTTATAGTTAATTTAGTGTTTTGTGGATCGCATATTTAATCACATGCTTAGCGTGAGACAAAATCTAGTTTTTTTTTTGTTAATCGGTACAATTACCATCTATAGCTTATCTTCTGTCTTCAACATTTTGATTAAAGCTCGTCTAAAAAAACTACTAAATCTCCCTTGAGAGTCTATTTTAACATTGGGTAAAAGTTGTGTAATTTAAGGCCTTTTTCAACAATATGCCTTCTAGTGGATTTGATTTGGATGGTAATAACACAATTATAACTTAAGTATAAACAAATATGCTATAAATCTAATACAAATCTAAGTCATTCATCCATTTATTAAATAAAAAATGCTTTGTTTTCGGCTGCTTTGTATAATAGTACCATTCATCCATTTATTTTAAAAGTGTAGAAATCATTTGGATATTTATGGTGGATTGGTTTGTGTATAAAGCAAGAAATATGGATTTAACCTAATAGGGCTTTTGACGGAGACTTGTTAAGCACGTCACCCCATATCCTCTTCCTATTAACTCGGAACTAAATCAAACACACCTTCGTCTCTAAAGTCGTATAGCTGCAGAATCTTTGTCTTTGTCTTTTCAAGACGTTTCATGGACCATATACTTTTCTCAAGGGAGTTTTAGTAGATTTTTAGACCAATAATTGTTTGCTTTGAGGGAGTTTTCGCTTTAAACTATTCCCAACTTGACATTGTTAAAACGAGAGTATGACCATATACTTTTCTCAAGGGAGTTTTAGTAGATTTTTAGACCAAGAAAATTATTATTTTTAGAGTAATTATCACGGTTATATATTAAACAAATCGAAAGTCAACTCTTTCTTGCCTAGATGGAACGTCGAAAATTGGGTTTGAATTAGTTCCCTTATAACTTCAACTTGTGATTACAGAAATCCAGGAACCTAAAAAGGCTTGTCAATCTCTGTTTTTTTCCATTACCAATGGCTCAAAGATTGCATCTTCTTCTCTCTATAATCTTCTTTGTTAATCTAATTTGTTTTTCAAGTCAACAAGACTTTAGTTTCATCTACAATGGCTTTAACCAAGGCCAAGCCAACCTTCACCTTGACGGTGCGGCAAGAATCCAATCCCCAGATGGACTTTTGCAGCTAACCAACGCCACAACTCAACAAATGGGTCACGCTTTCTTCAACCGCCAGTTCGATTTCGGTTCAGCTTCATCTCACTCTCTCTCTTTCTCGACTCATTTCGTATGCGCTCTGGTCCCTAAACCAGGAGTTGATGGTGGTCATGGGATTGCCTTTGTTCTATCATCTTCAATGGATCTCACACATGCAGATCCAACTCAATACTTAGGACTCTTCAACATCTCTACTAATGGATCTCCTTCTTCTCATCTTTTAGCTATTGAGCTAGATACGGTCCAGAGTGCAGAGTTTGATGACATCGACAAGAATCATGTCGGAATAGACGAAAACAGCCTCCAATCCGTTGTGTCTGCTTCAGCTTCTTATTATTCTGACAGAGAAGGGACGAATAAAAGCTTAACACTCTTGAGTGGAGATCCTATACAGATATGGATTGATTATGAAGATACTCTACTCAATGTTACATTAGCTCCTCTAAGAAATCAGAAGCCAAGTAAGCCTCTTTTGTCAAGAACCATCAATGTCACTGCAATGTTCCCGGATCGAAAAGCTTTCATCGGGTTTTCGGGAGCAACTGGTTCATTGATTAGTTACCAGTACATCTTAGGGTGGAGTTTTAGCAGAAGCAGAGCTTCTTTACAGAGCCTTGACATCTCTAAACTTCCCAGGGTTCCTCGTCTCACCAAACCAAAGAAAATATCTCCTCTGCTTATTGTTCTACTGGTTATACTCGCACTCATAGTAATCGCGGTTCTAGGAGGACTTTGTATCTACAGGAGAAGGAAGTATGCAGAAGTCAAAGAGGCATGGGAGAAGCCATACGGTCCACTTCGTTATTCCTACAAATCTTTATATAAAGCAACAAGAGGGTTTAACAAAGATGATCGTCTTGGAAAAGGCGGTTTTGGAGAAGTCTTTAAAGGAAATATGCCTCTTGTAGGAGATATAGCTGTGAAGAGACTATCACACGATGCAGAGCAAGGGATGAAACAGTTTGTGGCTGAGGTTGTGACAATGGGAAGTTTACAGCACAAGAACTTGGTTCCTCTTCTCGGGTATTGCAGGCGAAAAGGCCAGTTATTGCTGGTCTCTAAGTACATGGAAGGAGGTAGCGTTGATCAATACTTGTTTCACGGCGATAAACCGCCTCTTTCGTGGTCTCAAAGAATTGCGATTTTGAAAGATATCGCATCTGCGCTCTGTTACTTGCATACAGGAGCTAGTCAAGTTGTTTTACACAGAGATATCAAAGCTTCTAATGTCATGTTAAATGGAAATTTGCAAGGGTTTTTAGGAGATTTTGGAATGGCTAGGTTTGATGATCATGGAGCTAACCTCTCTGCAACAGCAGCTGTAGGAACCATTGGTTACATGGCGCTTGAGCTAACATCAACAGGGACTTCAACTAAAACCGATGTATATGCGTTTGGTGCATTCATGCTTGAAGTAACATGTGGGAGGAGACCATTTGATCCCGATATGCCGGTTGAGAAACGGCATTTGGTCAAGTGGGTTTGTGAATGCTGGAGAAAGGGTTCTCTATTTGATGCTATAGATACAAGATTGAGAGGTAAATTCATACCCGGGGAAGTCGAGGTGGTTCTCAAACTCGGGTTGCTCTGCACAAGCATTGTACCAGATTCAAGACCAACAATGGAACAAGTGGTGCAGTACATTAACAGACACCAAACGATGCCTGATTTTTCTCCAGATACTCCGGGAATCGGAGTTTCTACTCCAGTGTTAATGGGAGTACCTTCTTTGGTACTCACTTCCACGTCAGGGACCTCATCAGCATCGCCACCATCAGTCTCTTCTTTCTCGGCAAATAACTCAATGTTCATTTCTCACACAATCATTAATGGTGATGGTAGATGAAATCTAATAAACTCTCTTCACATTCTTTGGTTTCTAGTTTCTGATTAAAACAATGTACAGAACTGCCTCCTTTATCTTATTGTCCTAGTGTTTAAACTTTGTATGAGTTATGTGTTGAAGTCTTTAATTCGGTAACAAGTAATTCTGTAACACTCAATTGTGGCAAAATTCCCTGTACAACTTTTTTTGTCTATACATTGGTTTTGTGAGTGCGGTCGTGTCTTTTGATTGGTAGAGATCATGTTGTAATAACTAATCAAGGTTTTTCTAAATTATAACGCATACAAAACTGATCAAAGAAGCAATGAACAAATTTTGAATACTATAAGCAACTTATATGCATTCATCTTAGTCCGGTTGTGGCTAACCCACCGCACTGGCAACAAATCCTCAACTTCCTCTGAAAACTGCCCTGGATAATAATGATTGTAAATACGCTGACAAATTAAAAAATTAGCTAGTAATTATATTTATGAACTACCGAAACATACACTTACCCGAATCTCGCCTCTTGAGAATATCCTTGTTTTACGAGGCTTGTCCGGTGGACGACGGGTTGCTGGCGGATGCAAAATGGATCTCTGTCAGACCGTCGACCAGCTCAGCTGCAGTCCTGAACTCATTCACCGGATTTATGATTGCTTCATACACATTCCTCCAATTGTTAGTGCTATATTCCACATCCACTAGTGAATCAACCCCCATTTTTGCACGAAATGCAGTAGCTATTGCATGACAGCACGAAATGGACAACAATTGGAATTCACAGCATGGTCATTTTTTTTTTGTGCAGATCAAAGTGGAAAGTACCACCCTCGATGTTGCGCACTCCGTACTCGATAGTCTTTATCTTCGTATTGGATAAGATAGTAATTAAATAGTTGACATAACCGGCAACCTTCAATACTACTCGATATAAAAATTATTAACCGGGTATTCGATGATTATACCTTGTTAAGTCCAGAGTAGACGGAAAAGTGCATATCCAATATGAACACAACATCCGAGTCCACTCGCACAATCTCTTCTAACTTGCGGAAGAACCATTTGTATCATGCATCGTTCTCGTTGTCCACCATTTGTATAGTTGGTGAAGGTTTCTTCACAGTGATTATATTTGCTCTTACGGTTAATATATATACAATCTCACAAAAATATCTAACCTATACAAATATAATAATCACACATATTGATCATTCCTCCCAACGAATATTTACGCAATATCTTCGCATTCAATGCTAAGAGATGACTCAACTTTTTATGTAGTTATTTAATCCGCCATATCGGCCCTAAATTACACACAGTGACCTACTTAGTTCACAAAAATATCTCCCATATCTATGCTTTCCCGCCTAAGCTCAAGTTGACGCGACTTAATCAGAGGACAATTCTGACTTCTCAACCTGCAAGTCAACTGATTTTACCTTCCTTATTTTCAATGTAACTACTTCCCCAATTTTGGCTTCATTCATAGTTTTCTACCTAATTCTCTCA